GGGGGGGGGGGAGGGTGGAATGATATGAAAGACGAGAGACTGGGCAGAACCGGACCGGTCTCCAGACGAGCAACCTTTTATTTATTTCACCAGAGACAAGACGGTCACTCAGACAAGAGGCTCTGATCAAGTCTCAATTCAATCATTCAAGGGAGGATGGACCAGTGAGGGAAAGAAGCTGGGAAGCACCGCAGCTGCACGCAAGCAGGCAATCGAAGAATGGTTTCCGCCCTGACAGCTGGAATGGAAGCAATGAAGGGGGGGAGGGAGGGTAGAGCCAATGCACGGCAGGCTCACATATTATTGAGGGATACTGCAGAGAGTGGAAGACGCAGCGCGATTGACGGTGCGCAGTTCCTTCTCAAACAGGAATCCAAGGGAGACAGACCAGAGAGGCAACGCAGGCCGCAGGAGCAGCGACTCTTATGCGCAACGACGACCATGGGACGGACGGAAAGGACTGAAAGAAAAGAAGGAGGAAAAAGAAAGTTAAACGAGAGCGAGAATGAAGTCAAGACATCATCCGTCGTCGATTTCGTTCCCGCCATGGACATGGCTAAGAGCAGACAGGAAGACTTAGATTAGCTATTCGGCCCACGCCTGGAGTGGTTGGCGGTGGTTGCCAGGAAGGCAGCGTATGGATCCGGAAGCAGGACCCCAAGGCTGATCCTTCGAGCTGGGCAGGGTTTGGCGCCAGGACTGGACCCCATTTGGATCTGGGTTGAAATGGCTGAGTGTGGTGTGCTTTGTCTGGAAAGAGAATTAATTCATCAAAGACCGGTTGATGTCAGAGCCACCGGCAGGAGGTGGATATGCACGCTACAAGGGCCGAGGGAGCAGCCCCAGAAGGGACAGAATGGATGGGCGCGTTAGGACTGAGCCCCGGCAGGAGGGATGGGCCGGTATCAGATGCAAGAACGCGAGTGGGCGAGGGTGCCGTTGCTGGCGGATTACATACGTGAAGGTTCTTGGGGGGGGGGGCCTAGTGGCTCTGTAGGCAAACTGGGGAGACGAGGGCGGCCGGGCAGGCGGGGGGTGGGCGTGCTGGAAGGGGAAAGGTAACGCGCAGCTGCAACCCGGGCTGGTCACCTGCGCGGAAAGAAAGGAATGGGCGAGGACTGGCGGCCGCCCAATGGGCGCGCACGGCCGGCGATGGGGCCCGATGTGGTAATTATGGGAATGCAGCCTCTGCCGGCTCCGGACGAGACGCGACGCCATTGGCCGGCTGCGGAACGCGCGCGGATAGGCCAGCCGGCAGAAAGGGGGCAGACGAGGCACGCCGACTGGCAGCGTCTGTAAGGAAGGCACGGCCGCAGCCTCGGGGCAGGCTGGCAGCACAGCGGCCGGCCTGGGCTGGAAGGAGCAGCGCACGCCGGCCCTTGGTAACGGTTGCCAATAATGGTCGCCTAGGGCTGGGCCTGCGAACGCAGCCACCCACAGCACCCTCAGGAATGATCTGATCATCAGCACCACTCCCCCACCGCCCAACACCCTGCTGCGTCCCTCATGACGAAACTGAAACCAGCCCTTCGACAGGTAAAAAAAGAAAGAAGATGGAGCAGATGAGGTCAGGAGCGCAGGCAGCAGCAATCGCTGCGCTGCAGACCGCCTCTGCCAATCGCCGTCGCCGTGCTCATCGCCTTTCCACGGCGCCGGGATGAGGTCAGCAACAGTAATAATAATACCAGTTCCAGCAGTAATATTAACAAGAACAATAATGGCGGCGCCTCGCCGTCCATCTGCCCGCCTAGTTCGACTCTACTCTGCCAAGTGAGGAGGCAAGACCATCTCGAAATGAAGAATGCACGGGATCCGGTCTGCTCCGTCCTCGCAGCAGGGGCACCAAAAAAAAAATAATAATAACACAATGATGTCCCACGGGTCTGAGTCAAGTGTCTAATAATTCGAGGCTAGCGACCTGGCAGCGACGGTCACAGTTTGCACCGTGTCCGTCGTGGCATGATGTCTCTTCTCTCTCTCTGCCAGCGTCCCCCTGTCGAGCCCAGTCGTTAGTTGGGACGGAGGACGGAGGCCTGCCTGTAATAGTGCCTGTGTCCCCCGTTGGGTTGGGCGGTGGACGAGCAGCGAACGGGAGCACGGGGTCGGTCCCCTAACATGGGTTCGACGCTAGGTCAAGCTGAGAGGCTGCTAGGCCCTCCAACTTGCATTTGCATGCGGTCTATCAGGACGACGACGATGATTCTACGCCCCTGTAACTCTAGTTACGGAGGTCACACTGAATGCAGTAATCAGACGGAGTCCCGAGGCAGGCAGGCAGAGTCAATAATACGAAGGAACCGGCAGTCTGCCGCCTCGCTCTTGTGCCGCTCCGCGGAGTCCCAGATGTGATGGCAATGACTTGATTACGCACGATATCCATCGTCAAAGTTTGAGCACCGTACAGCAGCACAGTAAATGGACGCCTACGTACTCCACAGAACCCTCAGTAATGTTCGCGAAAGCTAGCGGCAGGTGGCCAGTCAACCTGCTAATCGATCTTAGTACTGCAGTTGGAGACTGTTCGACCATTAGACTTTTTCTTTTTCGTTTTTTTTTTCCTTGACCGCGTGCCTGAGTCGCTGACCGTTCGGCAGTCGGTGGATTTCGAATTTCTTGGAAGTAGTTGGGAGGCAAGTCAACTGCGCCCCGTAAACGAACTAGTGCAGAGAAAGAGGCTGGCGAACGGATTGGATCGTCGAAACTCAGCGATCTCATCGCTCTTTTTCTTCCTTTTTTTTTTCTTGTCCTCCGCCCACCTCGTAAGCACAACCCCACTGCGGTCAACATCATCCTTTTGCATCATCCGGACAACTGGGCCATGCGTCTCTTTCTGTGTCCGATCCATTGTTCAGGGGCCCATGTAATCGTGTCAAGTCCGTCGACGCCAACCGATCGCCTACATAGCCATTCAAAGCCCGCCTCCGTCGCCCCCGAATCCTGAACCGCCGTGGCAAGGATTGTCCCGTTCAGTCTCAACAAACAGACCACGACGAAGGTATGACCATGACCAGGTTGGTTTTTGAACGGATCAGTCCGGCGGTCTATTCGACAGGAACGCGTCCCGGATTTTCGACGCCAAAAATAGGAAAAAAAAAAGGAACGAAGGTTTCACGTATTATTAACTTCTCGGAATCTGGCGCATTGTGCATACTCATCACGATATGGAGTCCGTCGCCACATGCAATTACCTAGGCATTATTGTGGTGGACAGAAACCGGGCGAACTAGTCGGAGCCGGACGCGATGATCGTGAACCTTGCACACTGGCAAACTCTGGACAAAATGAAGAGCAATAGTCCTCCGTATTAGATGCTGTAGTTGAGGCGACCCGAGTTACAGGCCCCTCTTCAGATATTCGATGACAGGGCCAACCAGATCTGTTGGCAGGAGCGCCCCTCTGGCCAGGGGCCAATGGCGGATCAGCAGAAAGGGATCACGATGCGACGATAAAGAGACTGATCGTCTGCATCATCACAACCATCATCATCCATCAGCGTCGACGGCGGAACGCCGGAATCGTCGATGCAATTTTGATGGAGGGCCCAAGACACGCCCAACCACATGCTGATCTGGACCGGCGACCTCTTTCTGCGTTTTTCTTTTTGCCGGGTTCCAGAACCAGAGGACGCGCGAGTCCGAGCCTCGGGTCGGCTGGCAGCGCCAGGAAGGGAAAGGCAGGCGCGACGGCGATAGTAGGCTTGATAGTGCCGCCTGCAAAGGCGGTCGGCCGCTTGGTGCGCGCTGATTGGGCGGGTATCGGCCGTGACGCGTGAGCGGTCCATCCAGGCCGCCGACGTGGCTGGTCGCGGTCAGCTGTAATGTCCGCAATGTCCGCTGTCTGCGTGTCTCTTGCCAGGCCTTCTGTCACGATGGCAAGGATGGCTGCAACAGGCAAACGGTTGTTCGATTCGAATCTGTGAGTCGCCGTCCTGGGCAGGGTCGGTCCCAGGCGTGGATACAGAGCCGCCGTTCCGCCAATCACCGGCCGGCAGGTGACCGGGATCTCGCCCTCGCCAGCTGGGTCTCAGTTGCACGTTAAGTTATGTAACTTACAGAAGACCAGTCGACTCGACTCGACTCGACTCGCCTCGCCTCGCCTCCAGTCGATACTTGGCCTGCCTAGGCAGGTAGTCGGTCACTCACTCCTCGCCACCAACCAGCCCACCGCGACCCGTGAGTCCGTGACACTCACGCTCAAGCACTACTTGACCTCCGGCAAGTTGCACTTGGAAGTTGCAACTTGTTTCAGCGGCAATAATAATCTTCCATCGTTATTGAATTGTTCTCTTCGAGAACGAAGACCCTCTGCGCTAGCCAAATGCTAAAGGAGAAGGGACCAAGATGATCCAGTCGAACTAGACGACCCGCACCGTCCATCAACGACGTCTACCATTCGATGTGGTCCGGCATCGGTATGTGCAGTACGAAGTATAACTCACTCCGTCGTAACTTTGCACCTTGACCGGGTTGTCTTTCTTTCTCCTCCTCTCTCCTTTTTTTTCCCCCTTGTGCATGGATCGTCAGCTTTTTGCGCCCGACTCGAAATCCGCCGACCCAAGATCCAGCAAATGCAATCTTCCTTTTGCGGTTCGATACATGTACTTTGCATCCGTCCGACCGACCGACCAGGCCGGACGGAAGTTCATCCTTTCGATTCCTGGCAGGCTGGCATCCTCCTATTTGCGTTTGACGGGCTGACCACTAGATCGATAGTTTGGGGGGAGAAAACCACGCCAGCGCATTGATAATTATCTACCTGTTATCCTGTTCAGCTGCTGCATCACCTGGCGGTCGCGAGTCGAGTCGTATTCGTGACTCGTAAGTTGTAACTCGAGCTGCACTGCAGGTAGCTCTGTTTTGCAACAAGGCAGATAGATTATTGTCGATAGCAGGCTAGCCAGGCTGCCTGCCAGCCCCTGTGTGACTGGCCTGATGCGACTCAGCGAGAGTACGAGACTACGAGTAGGCTGGTTGATCATTATGTGACGATGACCTGTAAACGATCTGATCTGCTACTCATTTACGACTCTGTGCCAGGCTGCCAGCATAAAGCAAGGTTTCGACCGCGAAACCGGTGTGGTGATAGCAATGCTACCTACGGAGTACACCAGCCGTCTGATCGCCCGTCCGTAATACGAATGCCTCGTGTTGTTCACAACGATTATTCTACCTTTTGACTACGGAGTTAAGTACGGAGTAAATGTAATAGTAGAGAATTAATTACTCCGTAGTATTCCCCGTATTCGTTAATAATATCCTTGCCAAGTCAACCAGTCTGTGTGTGCTGTGGGACCCAATTTCATTCATGCTGAGCCTGACCTAGTAGTATCCTACACAATTGTGACCGGAGGTTGGGTACGGAGTACATAGGTAAGACCTTGGAAACTCTGCATGAAACCACCACCAAGATACAATTAAATAAAGGACGGGTGGGAATGAGAAACAGTTTTTGTCCTTCCCTGCAGGGAATAATCATTTAATAATTTCTTTCTATGGGGCATCACCGGGTGATAGGAATTAATTAATTAATTAATAGTCGGTTAATTTAAAAAAAAAAAACAGTAATCGACAATATCAGGTGTCCGACGATCTGTCAGGACTCAGAATGAATGATCTGTCAATTCAGTTCAGTGCAGTTCAGTTGATTTCATTTCCAGCCCCCATTATTTTGTCTGCCCAGCCAGCCAGTCTGCCTGCAGCAGTAAGCAGTTGTACAGTATACATACTGTATACTGTATGTGCATAGCATAGCAAAGCAAAGCATACATATGACGTATAATACAAAAGAAGACAGACAGATCTCAGCCAATGATGATAAGAAATTATTTGGCTCATTCCCAAACTGTTAATACATCATATTGTTATCATCATTGTCCTCGTCAGCATTATTCTCGTCAGTTTTCGTTGATTGTTGTGATAAATTAAATAAATATCCGGTGGCTGCTGTCGGGAAAATATATTCGGACGAAACGCCTCAGGCAAAACGGTAAATATATATATAACCCCATCATAAGAAATCCGATTTCGGATCCGGATCTGAATCCGAATAATAAATGCGAATCTACATAATCTAATCTATTTATCTACATTGATACCCAATCTACTGAATAAAATACTCCGTAATATAATCTTATTAATCAAATTAGAATACGGAATACATAGACCAAAAGAAAGAGAGAAAGAACGAAAAATCCTTCAATAACAACCAAGAGAAAGAAAGAACGCCTATCAGACATCTAACATCTAACTAGTAACATGATTTCTAACATCTAACACCAACTAAAAAGCGCCCGTCCGTGCTTAGGTACTTACTTTGCTTTACAACTGGGGCCGAAATTCGATTCTGAAGGATTCAACTTTCAATCAAATCAAATCAACCCTTTTCTTTTCTTTTTACTGCTTACTGGAGGGAAAGGTCAAGAGAGCAACAGTTCCTGTCTGTCACTGCACTGCGTGCAAACAGATTTACTATTTACTCCGTGGTTACGTGTTTTAGCTGACTGGTCCAGTTTCAATCAAGTCAATGAATTTCCAGATGATGGTATATATCTACCTGCGTTATTTATCTATTTGTCTGCATATTATTATTTTATCCCCATTATTATTTGTATTATTATTAGCCCTGGACTGGACTGAGCTGGACTGGGCTGGCTGAGCTGGCCTGACTGACTGACTTGACCGCCCATTATTATTTGCTGGATGATGATGAAGATGGGTCAGTCAGCAAGTCAGTCAGTATCTGAATCCGGGGTGTGCAGCACAGTATACGAGGCATGCCCTGCATGTATGCACATGTGTACATACGCGTGTATGCGCGTGGAATAATATTTATATTTACATACTTCATATACTTGACCTGCCTGAATGCAATCAATCAAGGCTTCTTTGTTCGACGACCAAGTCTGATGATGGTAGCCTACCAACTTGATTGTCTTAGACACACAGTAGATATGCACGCATCATGCAGCTAGCTCTATGCAACGACGACGACGACGACAGCAACAACAGGTGGAATTCGAGCAGCCAGCCAGCCAGCAAAACTCTAAATTATGTCAGATATGTATGTGTACAGTACATACATACATACTGTATCTATCCACCATCTCATGATCGATTCCTTGCGCTGTACTGAGGAAGTTAAGTCAAGTCAAGAAAAGAGCAGAGCAAGGAGCGAGCTGCATTTGCATTTACATATGTACAGTACATGTGTGTGTGCATCATTGATTATTATTTTTCTTTTCGCAGGTCAGATGTTTGTTCAACACTACATACCTACGTACTATGTACCATATATATATAAAAACTGCCTGCTCACCTGCTTGCTCTGCATCCGGACAGATCAACTATAGACGTGCATACAGTACCGCAGGGGTATATCCTGTCCTATTCTGCATGAGACGGACGTAGCTCCTTGGGTCATGTTTGTCTCTTTCTTTCTTTCTTTCTTTCTTTTTTCGTCCAGTTAAACGAATACGAATGGATATATCACTGTGCAGAACAAGATGGCTACATGTATGTACAGTACAGTACATACCTAATCTAATCTATTACGGACAAATATGACACGGAATCAAAAAAAAATATCAGACGAGAATACCGTAGAACTTGACTAGCTATCTAGTAATAAGATAAGAAGACGAAAAGGTATAACCAATCAAGCTTGAACTCCCTTTTAAATGCCCATTTATATAGATATGTACCTGAAAAGCTCCTAAAAATATAGACGATAGACTGATCCTTGCCCTTCTTCTGATCAAAGACTTCTTCATTCAGATGGTTGAGAACCCTGGAACGCTGACAAAGGCCATCGTCGCCTCTATATAAAATGGTAAAAACTATTTTATTCTTAATGCCAGAGGGGAATTTGAAATAAGATGGCATTGTCAACATTGGGTAGGTAGCATTCTAAGGTCTAAAGTCTATATCTATAGCGTTAAATACATGCTCAGTATTTGGTACGATACAGGGAGGTGTTAATACTTCATCGAAGCCAGTATTAATCAGCGTCTATAGTGTATAGTATATAAACTATCGGTCAGGGTTCAAGGAATTTGTTTTATTTTATTTCATTGTTAGTAGTCTCCTGTTCTTTACATTTACTTGATTAAGAACTCCTGAACTGAATTCACTGAATAGGATACTAACTATTTATTTATTTTTATCCGGCAGCCGTGCCTTGCCAGCAGCTGGATTCCACACTTAGTAGAGAAACCGGGAGATTCTGTTTAGCATTTACAGAGGATGCCATGCCATGACATGCCATTGACAAGTGAAATAAAACCGAAATTGTTACTGGATCGTCCATATCTCTCAATCGAGGCACTTCTCGACGAACCTGGATATGCCATTGGCCTTATCTCTTTTGGTCATTTGACCTATCAAGTGCTGTAGGTCAGACAATTAGACCTCACCAAAGGTCTAAAAGAAAGAAGCCTGAGAGACGCCGTGCACTATGATAATGTATTCGACTTTTTGAATACAGACAATTACATGCTCTGCATTACTGTTATATCCCATTCTCATTTATATTTCTATTCCTATATTCATAGCGGGAAGACGACGCAAGAGGCTCTTTCTTTTCAAATTTAGGCTAGAGGTGTCGTGCACTGGGAGGACTTGCTTCTCTTGAAGGAATTCTCAAAGTCTCTATATTTTCATTAGACTATCTAAGACCTACCTATTAATTAACTGTTTCCGTAACAGATTGATAAAGCTATCTATCTATATTACCTCGACTAAGTGCAGATGTTACTATCCTACAGCCGATTCAATTACCTACTTCGATAAATTATACGCGATAGAATGGTCAATTTCATACGGTTGTATTTCATCCAGCTGATGTTGAAATATCGGAAGTGGATGATCTATCGTCAGTATAGATATTGAGAATAGGAAATAGGTGCTTGTATTTAGCCTTGCCTCTTTTCATTTATTTTCCATGTATTAAGGAATTTATTTTCTCATCTTATTTACAAGAGCTAATGTCCTGCTCAAAATTCATCATGTCCGCCGCCTTTCCAAGCCACAAAACCAGTCCTCGTCCCCAGCAACAGCCCTAAAACCATCCCTCCAAAAAAAAGCCACCTGTCGAGAGAATGTGTGCCTTGCCGTTATACAGTGTCCCCACAGCCCACTTTCTCATTTCCTCGGTCACCTGGGTACAAGACGTGTTCAATTGAACATCTGTCCATTCCAGACATTCCAGAGAATCCACTTCGCTGCAGTCAGGATTTCTGAGTCGCGGATCCTTTGACTGCCCTTTTTGTCGTGGCTGTTTCAAATGCATCGCGCATTGCCCAGATGGCATATAGTGGATCGCAACGCCAGGTGTGACATTCATCAAGGTTGGCAACGAATGCGTTGCAGTTCCTCTTATAGATTCTCCAAGACGTTGGTAGACGTAGTAAACCTGACCGTCCTAGAAAAGGACGTAAAAAAGAGAAAGTTTTGCAACTAGACTACCTATTTTTGAAGTAGATTTCTGAGTGGCTTTTATAAACTATGCAATATACCCCAGCACACGGGCGACCTTTGCCTGGGATGGATCATGACAGGGGATCTGTTCAGCCAGTTCCAGGCACGCCTCGTCAAATGACAAAATCATCTGACAAGAGAGCGTCTTCTGTAAGAAGGTTGAGAATGGAGTGGACGGCGGATTCTAGCGACAGAGTCGTATTTGGTCGCAGATGTCCTGAAAAATAAGAAAGACTTTCTCGTCTGTGTACTCTGATATGCAAACCATTTTGTATACTGTATTTCATGGTGGGCAGTTATGAAAGACAAGACTCAAACAGCGCAGACGAGAGAAACAAACAAGGAAGCCTCCCGGAGGAAGAATAAGTTGAGATTCTTGTCAGACCATGAAGACCGAAGCTTCAGGGAGAGAACCGCCTTGACTGGCCAGGTGCCTCCAAAGCGAATCATATAGGAAATTCCGAGTTTTATACCTGAATCGAGGAAGGCGTCCAAGTTATACAGTTAGTAACACCTGTCTATGTTCAATGATGGTTGCAGGTTTGATCTCTACATTGGCTGAGTGCACCACTTTAGTTCCACTTGTCATGAATGCCACTGTGCCACCATGCCCATCTCTTTCTGAATTAATTAAATAGTCCCTTTCTATGAACATGTACGGAACGTCTAAAGTAATCATCGTGGATGGCAGGAGCGATATTATCTTTGCAATAACTGTAACAATGACACCTTATCACTATTACTACACCATTATCATTTATTATTTCTGCGGTGGTTCTTGATTTTATATAGGATTAGAATGCTCGACATCAGTCAAATAGATCATCTTCGTCGTTTCCATTGAGATAAACTCTTGGCTGGGCAAGGATTTGTTGGACTTTGAATTTCACAAGGCTTATACAATGATCATTTTACTTTAGACCAGAGACTTGAAGTATATTGAGGGGAAAAAAAGGACGAGAAGAGCATGTAGAAGGTAAAAGAAAGAGGTCATGGACACAATGGCCAGAAGAGTATTTATCTCCTAGTCTCAATCTCTGAGAAGAACAGATCACATGAAAATACAAGCAAGAGCAGCGCAGACAGGCTAAGCAGGAATTGCGAATCGAGAGCCAGAAAGGTCTTTCCAATGCATGAGATACTGTATCATGCTGGAAGCAATCTTGAGCACGCGTGTAATAGCCTGCTAAACAGATCCACACTAATCACAGCAAGCCATTTCACAATGAGAGAATTTCTTCGACGGTCTCAAGAGGAAAAAGAAAATTAAGTGGTCCTGCGTAGAAATTCAGTATGTACAGTACATGTACTGGGGAAAACACCCAAGGTAGAGGAACGAACAAGAATCTGAATTATTTCCCGTCTGAGCTCGTAATAATGCAATTGAGCAACAGGTGACGTTTTGGAATAAGACTGGTTCAGTAGCTACCTCTAGTATTGTTAGTAATATACCTATGCTATGCGGATACTTTTTATACTTCGTATGTGCCGATAGATGGAGAAGAGTAACCGAATATATTAGAGGAATTAATCAGTACATGATTTCTTCTCGATGAAGACGAATAATAATACGATCGATCTGTTTTGAGAGAAAGTAAAACTAGAACTTCTGGCTTGACAAGAGTGAATAAAGACAATGGTCAGAGAAGACCTGATTCATGTGAATTGTCGGTTTATAGGAAGTTTGTGATCTGGCCATGAAGCCAGAAACTGCCTGAGACAATAAATGGTGATGGACTTACACCGAATAGGGGAGACTTTTGTCATAAAAGGCTTGTCTTTCTGCGCTTATCCTAATTTCTTTTGTTTTAGACGTTTACATAAAGCTAGCTTGATTGTAGCCCAAATTCTATGACAATGCAGAGAAATGTAAACTCGTAAATATATTATAACTTTAGTCTAGAGATGGTCGAAAGAGTTGTTAAAGAACGTATCTAGACATGCACTTCGATAACCGTTTTTGGAAAGAGTCAAGACGGCAAAAGGTTGTCTCCTTGGATAAATACATCTGAGACTAGGGGGAAGACAATCTTCTCTCTTGTTAGTTTTGTTAAATACTCAGGAAGATACTCGAGCTCTGCTCGTGTTGGAGAAAATGGCACAGTATGAGAGGAGAAGAGCATATCCAAGGGGGATGCCTTTACTGTCCTGAAGTGTAGGTTCTCGTCTCTGACCGGTTCCGTTGACTCTACTTCCTTTTTGGGATGTAGAGCCTGGCATACCTAGAGCTAGAGCTTGGCAGGAAGAGACTTGAACTACATACAGCATGCCGGAGTAGTTAATTTCAATTCGAGTAAAGTCTTACTTAATGGCTTCGAAATTGCTGACCCTTGAATTCATGAAGTTTAATTAATCTATTTAGGGCATGACAGAGGCAGAAGTAGTTCCATGACGATAGGCATGTGACAAATACCAATCTAGGTAGGTACTTCCTCCTTGAGGTAGTTTAGGGAAGGCAGACAAGCCAAGTTCAATTGAGATGTCGGCTTCAATTCCCCTTTTCTTGACAGATCCAGAAAGCGTTGTGCTATGTAATTTGTGCATTTGCGCTGTGACTCAGCATTTCCAGCTTGCCAACTACTGGCTGGCTTGTGCTTTATTGTACATCCCGTATGTTCATGTATATTCATGCTATTGTTGGAGAAGGCTTCATTTGATTTTTCTAGAAACATTCTATCCGCTGGATGGGCATGAAGCTATTGCACCGCTGCAAGACTGAGAACTTGTTGCCTCAGAAAGGACTAGAATGCTCCATAATTAATTTCCTTTCTTTTTTTTTCTTTTTTTATTATTTTCCCCCTGGCGAAGACACGTAACAATCGTAGGACATTCTCCTTTTTCGGTAGGTCCATTATTGGGGATGTCAAGCTTTCCCCTCATGAAGAGCCCCTTTCCCCTCACGGGCACCAAAATTTCCCCTCACGTCGAAGACTTCTCCTCACTGCCATTATTATTGGACAGAGCGGTTACCGCGTCTGGAAGCCTGGCTGCTCTGAGCGCAAGAGGCAAAAATCCCTTAAGATGCTTCGATGCCGAAGAAGCCGCGAGTTAGCCCCGAGACATGTGACGTTTTCTCCTTATTCATCTCAGATCAACGTCAACGACACAGCCTCCAGCAGAGCCGCAGCACAGCACACGTCTGTCTCGTATTCGTGCCCGGAGTCCTCCGCAAAGCCCCGAAAGAGTATATCCTTTCGGCCAATAAGCCGCGGCACGATAATCACCCGGGAGTCCGCAGGGCCTTAGATAATAGCAGTGGGACTTTTGCGAGGCTCAGTACTGGCGTACCCCAGATTTCCACACCCGGCAAGTGGACTATCCTGCTCAGAGCTTCCAGACAGCAGCGACAGTAATAATGTCGATTGCGCTGCGCTGGCAATGGAGGCCGGCGTCGCTGGTCGGCGGCAAGTCGCCGTCGGCCCGTTAGTCAGCCGACCACACGGGAATCCCGAAGAAGCAGCAGCGGCCAAGATGAATCGCCCGAGCAGGAAAGCGCATCCAACACCGACTCTCCCGACCTGCGTCATCGCCGCATTGGTCCTTTTTTCTTTCTTTTTTAAACTCCATCCCTTAACCGCCCGAGATCTCGTTCGTTTATCTTGCATGGTCTTTTTGATCCGTCGGAGCGACACGGAAGACCTCCTTATAAATAGCCCAGTCCTCAATCGCTCCCTGCAAGCGACGCGTTGCTAGGCACAGCACAGCATTGCACAATTGCACTCCGCGACCACGACTCCGGCGCGCGACATACCTAAAGCTGCATACCCACCGGCTTTCCCGAAATAGCTCCCAGGGACCACCCTTCCGGCGCTTATCCGGCCCCAGCCTTAGTCTCGACCGCAAGCTGCCCAAATAAAAAAAAAGTTTTTGCAGCCGTTGTTCAGATAACGACGCTGGTTAGCCCTGGATTGCGCACACCGGGCCTCCAAAAACAGTTTCGTGCCCGCCTATCCACGGCGCACCTCCGATCTATTCTTATTCTTGACTTCTTGACATGCTCTGATCCCATTAAGAAGCTGCACCTCAGAGCATCTTCTTCCTCTCCCGCCTCTCCTACTCTCCGCTCCTTCCCCCTTCCGCTTCGTCGAAGCTAGGCGTGAGGACCGATCATGGCTGTCGGGTCGCTCCTGATCCGTCCAAAGGCGGTCTCGCCCGCGACAATGCAGCTGGCGACCTTGTCGCGCAGGTCGCTGTCCTACTCCTCGCGCTTTGGCAACGGTCTCCGGGCCGCTTCCTCGCCATTGACCGTCAATTCGCGGAGACAGCCTGTGCAGCGCTCTTTCCGACGATCATACACGGATTCCGCACCCGAACCGGAACCCAAGAAGAGATTCCGATTCTTGCGATGGGCCTATCGCCTGACTTTGCTCGCCGGTCTGGGAATGACTGGATGGACGGCATACAGCATCTATGTCCTGAACAATCCAGAGGAGCAGTTTCAACCTGACCCGGACAAGAAGACCCTGGTGATCCTAGGTAAGTCGCTGTCGATCCCAGCGCAGTTGGGGAATCGCCCTCTGACTGGACTCGCTTTCTCTCAGGCTCTGGATGGGGTGCCGTCTCCCTGCTCAAGAAGCTCGACACGGAAAACTACAATGTCATCGTCATCTCCCCCCGTAACTTCTTCCTTTTCACCCCCCTGCTTCCTTCCTGCACGACCGGTCTGATCGAGCATCGCTCCATCATGGAACCTATCCGGAACATTCTGCGTCACAAGAAGGGCACCGTCAAGTATTACGAAGCAGAGGCTACCAAGATCGATTACGAGAAGCGCGTTGTCCACATTAGCGACGGCTCCGAGATCACGGGCGATGTTTCCCGCACGGAGGTTCCTTTTGACATGCTCGTGGTTGCTGTCGGTGCTGAAAACGCCACTTTTGGTAAGTCAATGGCCAAGAAAAAAAATGTCCAGGAACGTCGGTTTGCTCATGCTCTATTCCAGGTATTCCCGGAGTCAAGGAGCACTCTTGCTTCCTGAAGGAAGTCGGCGATGCGCAGAAGATCCGCAAGCGAATCATGGACTGCGTCGAAACGGCCATGTTCAAGGACCAGACCGAGGACGAGGTGAAACGACTCCTGCACATGGTCGTTGTCGGCGGTGGTCCCACTGGTGTCGAGTTTGCTGGTGAGCTCCAGGACTTCTTTGAGGAGGACCTGAAGAAATGGATCCCTGAAATCCAGGACAACTTCCATGTGACTCTGGTCGAAGCGCTGCCGAACGTGAGTTTCTCCAGAACGAACATACTGTGAGTTGATGTCCAGAGTTTGACTGACGTGTGTTCCAGGTTCTTCCCATGTTCTCCAAGCAGCTGATCGACTACACTGAGTCGACATTGAAGGAGGAAAAGATCACTCTCCGCACCAAGACCATGGTCAAGAACGTCACCGACAAGTACATCGAGGCCGAGGTGACCAAACCAGATGGCAGCAAGGAGATTGAGAAGATTCCGTATGGTCTGCTCGTCTGGGCTACCGGTAACGCCGTTCGCCCTGTCGTCCGAGACCTGATGAACCAGATCCCGGCGCAGAAGAACTCCCGTCGCGGTCTCGCTGTGAACGAGTATCTGGTCGTCAACGGAACGGAGAATATCTGGGCCCTCGGTGACTGCTCCGTGACGAACTACGCTCCGACCGCCCAAGTGGCCAGCCAGGAGGGTGCCTTCCTCGCTCGTCTTTTCAACACCATGGCCAAGACGGAAGAGATTGAGAAGGAGTTGAGCAGGCTGTCTGCTGCCCAGCAGGCGGCTAAGAACGAGGATGAGCGCAACAAGATCCTGGAGGAGATCAAGGAGCGTCAGAAGCAGTTGCGGAGGACCAAGCAGATTGGACCGTTCCAGTACTCTCACCAGGGTAGCCTGGCATACATTGGAAAGGAGCGTGCGGTTGCAGACATCAGCTGGCTGAGCGGCAACATTGCAAGCGGTGGAACGATGACCTATCTCTTCTGGCGCAGTGCTTACTTGAGCATGTGCTTCAGCGGTATGTATCGCGTTATGAGAAGGCTATTTTCGGAAGAAAGCTAATAATGTTTGCAGTTCGCAACCGTGTTCTTGTGGCGACCGACTGGATCAAGGCCAAGATCTTTGGTCGTGACGTCTCTCGGGAGTAAACCCGTCCCGAAAAACGAGTTTCCACAACTGTATCTTCCATCCGATTTGAAATACCTTTTTGCGAGGCTTCATTTGTTGCATTTCGTACCTTGTCCTTGGAACCTGGCTTCATGTGTCTCAGCTGGGCGAATTGGGACGGGGCAGATTTTTGAAAAGGGAACGATTCAGCATTAAAGAGTCGGAGCGGAATGGTTAATAATATACTATCCACATTGTACGAAATAGATATAGACTGGGATTTGGGTTTTTGTGATCTTGCTTTCTTTTTTTTCTTTCCTTGTGTGATTGTGTCCTGTAACCGTTTAGTATTACTACTACAACTTTCATATGTTTTCCTTTGTTAAATTTTCGACCATCATCATCATCATCATCATCCAATTGGCTCTTTTTTTGGTTTTTCTCATGATGTATAGATGTATAATCCCATTATTTTCTGTTATTTTTTCTCGTTTCTGATTCTTGCCTGGCCCTGTAATAACATCATCTTCTCTACATATGAGGAGTAAGTCTATACATTACCATCGTCATCTTGGTCATGTTCGTTGTTCGTCAAGTCATCTGCTGAGTAGAAGAAGTGAATAAAATAAACAAATAAATAGTCATCTAATCTATCTATCTTCGTCGATATCTAATTACCTCGTCTGGTCAGTTTTTTTTTTACCTTTTTTTGCGTTTTTGACTGCGCTAGTAGCTAAGAATATTAATTATTAATTATTAATTATTAATTATTAATTGAATCGAGTAATTACTAAAGTGATTACTTAGGTACGTAAGGTAGTTACGTACCGTACGTAAGTATTAAGGAAACCAACATAGAGGGAGAGATCTATCTCATCATCTATCTCATATATCTTTTTTTTTTGCTTGGATTTGTCGTAGATTATTCTATTCGTGGAAGGAAAAAAAAAGAAAAAGGAGATGGATGGATGGATGGAAAGTCC